CGTTTGATCCGTCAGTGAGCCCGGAAAAATGTTCCATTTCACAAAGAAATCGCGACATACACTCGGGTGTTCGAAGATACCTTCATTTTTCAATAAATTTCTTCACGTAAATGCATTATATGTACAAATATTTCTAATCGTGAGAGTTGTTCGATACAAATAGAAATTTTTGTCATTTCAATGTTAATATTTTATTATATTATAAATTTAATAGTTAAGTGCCACAGTAAAAATGATATTAAGCTTTAATTACTAAATGTCAATTAATTGGCACTCTATAATTATAATTATTTAAATAACTCCATTTTCTAACTTACTGTCTAATGTTACTTTGAATTTTTATTAACTTTTTTATATTATTCATCAATGCTATTAAATTTTCTTGGAAAAAAAGATATATCAAAGCTCAATTAAAACAGCTTTCAATTTTCGAAGAAAAGCGCCATCAAAATGTTATGTACTCGAGAAGTAGCTCACGGTAACGAATTATTTCTGGTTTCTTGAAAAGAAGCGGTCTGAGTTGGCGAGTTTCCCGGCAAAAGAATCAAGGGGGCGGATGTGAAGGTGGGGAAAATACGGGGTAAGTTTCCGTGACATGTAAATCACGCTTTACCAAGAGCTTTTGAGTGTAGCGGTAAGGTTCGTTGAAAAGTTAACAGGCCGAGGAATGAGAGGGCTGGTTCTCTCTTTCTCTCGACGCGTCTGACACCTCGTGTACCGCTTTTACTTAATGCTTTCCAGTTCTTCTCGAGAGGTGTTAAGTAACGAGCTTGTTGTATATGAATGCCAGCTGCGAGAAACGAAGGAATTTCAACCGGTGATTTTGTCCGTGAATTCCTCTTTTTTCTTTATTCTCCTTTTTCGTTCAACTTGCTTCTTGTTCTAATGAACAGCTAGCTTTGAAAAGTGTTTCTTAATTGACCAGCTTCCTTTAGGCCGAAGATCCTGTTCGAAAGTGCAATAAATTTGCATCAACGTAGAATTTTTAAATTTAGAAAGGGTTTGATTTTCATCTATTTTAAACCAGGCAAAAAATCATAGCGGGTAGCTAACTTGTTAATAAATTTTTGCATGCTCTTAATATAATTTTAATTCCGCAAAATTAGCTTACGCGTACACGGTAATTCGTATAATTAAGTTCGCGTATTTAATTTACACGTACAGTTTACGTGATTATTCAATTTCTTCATTTTCAACTATTTTGTCTAATAAAGATTGATAGACTGACTCGATAAATTTTTAAGGAATATACATCGAGATTAAAAATTGAACGAGTCACTTTGCATATTTATTGTCTGTCGTGATTAGGACCAAAGAAGTTTGTATTAGCTATTAAAAAGTCGCGGTACGGTTTCCTGTTATCGAAGCAAGTTCGGTTGAGCAAGTGAACTTTAAATGAGAACAAGTTGTTAAATAAAGTGAAATTTATGAAATTCACGGTGCACCTGTTCCACCTTCACATCCCCGCGAAAGTTATTTAATGTAATATGTAATTTTGGAACGTGTAATGTATTCGATGTTAGTCGCTAGTTTTCTGTTGCATTTTAAACGATTTTGTTTCCTTTCGCTGTTTGGTTATAGACTTTCAGAAAATTGTTTGATTGGAAAAATAGGATAATAAAAAAGATAATTATCTATTTTTTTGTATAATGAAACGATTAGACTATTAACAATTTACTTTCTAGTACAATTTCAGATTTTAAAAATCGCATTTTGCAATTATTAGTAAATTATAAATTCATGAATCTTGTATCACTAGTGTTTAAAATAGAATTTTGGAAATTATTTTATTAAAATTTGATTGATATCAACATTCTGTGAAAGCCAGACGAAGGAAGAAATAAGTTAGCAGGAGAAGAGAAGGTTAATTTCACTTTATTCTTCATTTTTCACGTTGATAATGTAATAATAAATACATGTATTGTTAGCACTGCCATTACTGCTGTCCATTATTAGTTGTAGCCATCCAAGAGATGCATCAGAAAGGTTTTTAAAGTGGCGAAAAGGAAGGTTAAAGTAGAAATATCGAGAAAGTCATTCAGCCTTTATTCCCCTCCGTTGATTTTCCTTTTATACAACCTTTTTACAAGTGCTGATTGAAATAACAAGATAAGATTGTATAAATAAGCTTGATCGAAAAATTGAATGCAATATTTTGCATTATAATTAGAATAAGAATTAGTATTTTAGTATTTGAATTAAATTAAAAGTAAAAAAATTACAATTATTTCTATACCTTTAATTAACTTTCTAATTATTTATATCCATATATTCTAAGAATTAACTCTCAAATGACAACACTTTGCTAATTTTCTAAAGTTTATAATATTTCTTTGAACATTATTTTTCCAATATTTGCAAATCTTTCTTTTGGAAATTTTAATATTTACAATTAACTCAGTCATTGTCATTTAAGGGTTATTATAAAATAATAATTAAAATTCTAAAGGAGTTACAAGCAATTTTGCATTTTAAGGATTTTAACTTAAATTGTACGTTTATTTTTTAAACACAACCAGTCGAATTATTCTTTCTTCTTAAAAATACTGAAATACAATTTATTGACATACAAATTTATACCTAAGGATGATTCGTTTATGGGTGTGAACGACCAGACAAACTACGTGTATTCTCAAGCAATAACAGCGCATATGTGTGTTAATTCCCCAAGAATACGCGTCGCCAACCTGGCCTATGAAGTTATTCTTCTCAGCAAATATTTTTGCCATCCTTTGTCCTTGATATTCTTCATCTTCTCAGGATACGTTACTAATAGAAAAAATAAATACAATTAGTCTAGAATGAACATGATTATGACATACATACCTGGAAGATTTTCTTTTACTTAAGAATGCTCTTCTTTATTTATTTTATTTTATTAAAATATGTCGTTAGAACATTATTTAACCCTTAGTTGCATAACTGTTTCTATTGTTAATCTTTCACTCAATTATAAATGAAATGAAAATAGTGTTTCAATTAAAAAAGATAAAATCGAAATGTCTGGAATTTAACAGCCTAGATATTCTCCTTATCATTTTGTTTTATCTCGTTTCGAGACGGTTCTCGTAACTTGGTAAGGTAGCAATCAGAAAATTGGGAAAGCTTTTCATTAAAATAATCAGAACTTTCGATGTCCTGCAGTGTAGTACGTAGTCGAAAGAGCTTCGGTAAGAAACTTCTCAAATCTGATGAAATTTCTCCCAAGCATTACGAGTTTGTTTCGCTGACAATCAATTTCTTGAAACACTTTGAGGATAATTCGTAAAGTAAACTGAACTTCGTCAGTATTCAATTTACCACTTCATTTTATAACCACCCATTCCTAAAAAAATTTTAATTATACGAAATTTATGATTTGCTAATTGAATTGATTCGATGCTTCGAATTCGAGGAACTAAGGTCAAACGGAAGCGAGAATTTAACCCTTTACCAAAGAAGTTAATAACATGTTTCTTTCTCAATAAAAATGATTCTTTTGATAAACGATAGGTGAATCAGCCGGGTGTTATACAACGCGTGAAACGAAAACCACGAAAGTAGCAAGCGAATTTATCCAGCTGATCGACTCGAACAAGCGGATCGTTTTTCAGTTATAAAACGGGTCCGTTGGCAACGAAGCGGAACGCTCGCGTTACAACCGAATGCGCGCGATTACAGGACGACCGTGGCACAGTTTACACGTGACACAAACTGATAATAGAACGTTATACAAGTTGCATGGATTCCGGTCGAATCAGTCACGATAACAGGACACGAGAGTCTCCCATATACCTGTCGAGAGTTAGGTGTCGTTTTACACGCTCAAATGTTTCACGGTGTAATGCTGTTGGGTTACGGTGAAAAATTTCATTCGATACGTAGTCGCGTGCTGGTTAATTTGGAGTATCGCTGGAAAACGAGAGGCAGAGGTAGCGATAACAAAGTGGCCCATTTGCAGGACAACCATCAAATTATTACACGTTCACTTGATTTAAAAATACTGGTAATATCATGGTAGAAATACGTGGTCTTGATACTTTATCTACCGGAAGCCTATTAATAAGTTTCTTGACACTGTTGGCAATTATCATTTATATTAAATTATCTTTCATCACGTAAAGCTCTAAAAATTTAAAACTGATATGAAGCATAAAATAAGAAATTTAAATATTGATAAATAACATAGGAAATAAATTATTATTCGAAACGATCTAGATTTATGCATTTAAGAGTTTCAGCAGTCTCTAGAGTCCCCGAAACCAAAAACATTCGGTTCGAAGCACTCTACGGTTTCCAACGGAGTGATCTTAAAGGTCCTCGCCCGATTGGATGAAAATAAAAGGTGGACACAACTGCCAATACACTTAAGTTGGCTTCTCTGCTGCTTGCTCGCAGCATCCTTCTAAATAGAGAAGAACAGTACAGAGGTCGTGAACAGGATTCTACGACAATGGAGGAAAAAGGTAGAGAGAGGGGGATAGAAGGGAAATGGTGGAGAAAGAGAGAGGGTTGAAAACAATTCCGTGATAATAAGATAGGAGCCGGTTCGTGCGATGTAAACCAGTGGCTAAAAGACTCGATTCGCGAAGGGTACGAATGGAAAAGGATAAAATGTGTTTTATGGAACGAGCTTGAGTTTCGTGCTTGTTTCTTTCTCTTTGTTTGTTTGCTTGTTTTTAGTAGCACATTGAGAAAGTGCAAATGGGTTTTGATCTATTGTCAATTTTAGAGAATCTTTGGAGGTGGATAAAGAATCTTGTTAGTTTCACCAAATAAGAAACTGTTTAGAACAATTTCTATTATGCTAGAGAAAAAGAATAATAAATATTATAAAATAGAGAAAATTAAGGATTTAAACAATACAATACAAGCTGTTTATTTGGTACAAAACATTCATCACAATCATGAATCTTCATCCAATATACACGAATATAAATTATTTTAAAGAAAATATATCAACAATCTAATAAATAAATATTCATCTATTATATTTTTTTATAATATTATCAATTAATTCAAGTTACAAATAGAATTAATACAAAAATCCACCACTAAAACGTATTAAAATTAGTAAAACTTTGAATTGTTGTTATTGCAAATCTATTGGTGGCATTGTAAAAATTGAGATGTTGTAGGAATCGGGGATCATTCCCCTATAAAACCCATTTGGATTTATGGCGATACGACTTCCCGTTCCGGAGATATCGTCGCGTAAAGTTTTCGGCATTTTACTCTCTTGTCTCACTCGCACGCGTTCGCTGACCTACTTTCGCTACCGTGTGCGTGCACTGCTCATTGTCAAACGCTGAATCAAGGTCTTTTTACTATTACTACGCGTAGCGTACGCGTTTGCTAGAAAAAAATGTAGGTCACGGTAGTATTTCATTCATGACCTTCATTCTTACTTATTGAACTTTAAAGACTCATATCTCGAGAACGATTAGAAATATCGACATGCAGTAAAGTGCATTGCCAATGGCTCGCTTTACTCTATCATTAGACCTAATTTACATTATTGTGTTCTGGGTCATTTTGACCCATAACATAAAATTTTCTTACTTACATGTGGGTTTGAAAGGTGCATTGTATTTAATATTGACATATCTTTTTTACATATAAATATTGTTTCTGTATCTGGGTCAAGATGACCCCGTATATGCCATATATAGGTCAAAAGCTCTTAATTCTGTTTTAAAACAAAATAGTGCACTATTAATGTAATCTTTAAAATTATTATTATGTTTTTTTAAGTTATTATAGTATAATTAATTTATGGGAACAATGGACAATGTATGAAGAAATTTACATTTTAAAATTATAGAATTTTAATTAATGTAAAAAGGTGACGATATTTTTACAATATTCCCTTTATTTAAAATCTTTTCTTTTTCGTGTTAAAAATTGCATTAAATCATAGAGGCGAGTGACTGGGAAAAATCTGACTTCCCAGGAAATGAAAAACCGTTTTTCGGTGATGTAGAAAACAGCATGGTTTCGCGTCGATAGGAAAAGAAGTCAGGACGATATATCTTTACGTCTTGCTTGTAGATTTATTGCGTTCGAGGCACTCGAGAAATTAGGCTGGCTTGATCCGTAGGTCAGTCCTCGAATCAGTTCACTTCCTTTGTTACATTAAAAAAATACGTATAAAATATTTCAAACTTAATCTTTCCAAGCAATTTTATGTCTTTTAAACTGACTCTCTATACCTATTTTGTTCCGCAAAATTGAATCTTTCACTCAAGCGGAGCTACAAAATGTCACGTTCACAAAGTATTAAGAATATTAAAAGGAATTTACGACATCGTTCTTTGTAATATAATCCTTGCTTTTACAGAAGAACGTAGTAGCTTAAAAAATAAAGATTTTAATCTCTGAGCCTGCTTAGGAAACCATTGTTGTATTAAATCTTTCAATTTGCATAAATGTTAATTTGCAGAACGTACCTTGATAACCATTACAATATTAGGCAATCACTGTATTAATTATTATTTGTAACTTCAATATTGAATTATTTATTAATTATGGATTTAACTGAATTTGAAAGTTAATAATTTGAATTAATTAATAATTTAATCGTTATCAATACAGAAAAATATATAAAATTACAAGGAGAATTGATTCTTCAAAATATTAAAATAATAATTTTGGACAATTCTGTTACATGGATAATAATTGCATCAATTCTTCCTTTGCAAACCGTCAATCAACATCTTCACCATATTCCTAAACTATTTACTCAAATACAGTATAAACAACGTTACATGTATCTTATACCAACATTATAATCCTTACCTCTCGCACAGGAACACGCAAAGGAGACGTTTCTGACCGACTGCCCATCCATTGTTCATCGAACCTGCAACCAACAGACGTCTGTTTACACATTGTCTGCGGGTCTCAGTACGTGGAGTAACAATTTATTAACGCCTAGTATATTTCGGAAATTCACAAAGTTATGTCTTAGCATCATGCATGTTTTATGAAATTAACGACTCTCGTAATTAATGAGTGTTAATGAATGTTAATGTGAAAAATCACAATAAAGTATTAAGTTGTAATTTGAAAATTACTAATTTTGTTAGAAACTTTCAGGCATAAAACTCGAAAAGTCATTAATTCCATAAAATAAAATTTGTTTAAATGTTTGGTTCTTTTTACTTTACATCAGCATCCTCTCTATGGAAACCTATGGTGCTGGTCACTGTGCAGCATCGAAGGATGCATTAAAGGAGGACGAGACGAAGAGGAAGAAAGAGAAGGAGAAGGATTAGTATCGACAGGAGTGTAAGGTGGAAGGGCCAGCAAGGAAAGGGTGGTGCATAGTGGTAGTCGTGTTAAGAGGAGAAGTGCAAAGAGAGGAACGAAGCAGACGAACGGACGGATGGACGGACGGTCTGACGGACGGACGGTGGATCCCCGACAAATGGATTAAGCGCAAATTGCTAAACTCTGTTTAATTTGGCCAAATGAATTTTGTTCCGCCAGCCCCTTGCCTTTTCCCTTGCCTCGCCCTCTCTTTCACACTCTATCTTTCTCCATTCGAACTATGTGCAACCTCGTCTAGAAGTTTCAGCTTGAAAGCTTGTTTCCTTCCTGGGATACACGCTAGGATTTTCGGGAAAGATGCTGTGTTTTTGTCAATCCTCTTTTCAGAAAACACAGGTTAGTATTTTTCTAAGTGAAAATGGATGATGTTAATGAATTAAAGGTGCATGTTTTGATCGTGGATTTCTGTTTCTTTACATTATTGAGCCATTTGGAAAATTCAACTATTGTTAGTAGAATTGCTCTTTTAAAAAGTGGTAGCGCAGTGAATTTTATATGTTTGATGGTATTTCGTTATTAAAGCAATGGAAACACAAATACACCATTTTTTAATAGATCTATGTGTCTATTTTCAGATAGATTAGTTCTTTGGAATTTTCTTCAGATATTTCAAATTTTTGTATGCAATATTATTTGTTTATTTAAAATATCTATTAATATCCTAATACTTTTTCACACAGAATATTTCCAAGAATTCATTTTTATAGAAGAAATATACAATTCCATTTGAAAAACTGGAAATAATCATTATCATTATCATTTTATTTCATAAAATAATCATGAAATCTTTGAAATGCCTTCCATTCAACAACAAATAATTTTGTCTAATGAATTTCTTCTTTCTATCTTCTATCATTTTGAAGTCATAGTTTGGTTCAGTTGCATAGAACATCCTGTACGTCCAATGGATGTCGTTAAGGTAACTTTAGTAATCGGGCTAGGAGCAACATTATCCTATATTCAGAGCGTTCGTTTATGCTATTGGAAATTAGTAGGTGTCGACCTTCGAAGTACGTGCCTAAATCATGCCGACGGAGATTATGTGTTTCGTTTAGAATGTCCTGTCAAGGATTCTAACGGCTTTGTTCGTGGTGTGCTGTCCACGTATAATATATTTGGAAACGAGAGGACTCATTTGTCCGGAGAAAATGTTGATAACGATGTTGTAGATACAATTAAATTGCAACGTGACTGAATTATTTTAGAGAACAAGAAATTTTAGTTCCGAAATTTAATTGTTCTTATTAAAAATAATTTTTCAATGATACAGTATAATTAATGATTCAAGTGGAAGTCAATTTGAACTTCAATTTTATGCAAATATTTTAATTAGACTTACCTGTACAAAGTTCGAATGCTTTCGTTCAGTTTGAGTAAATGCCCCTGCAAACTGCATAGGCCATAATCCAGAGAAATCCGAATTTGCGCGTGAGCTTACTGCGAAATTTATGTAAATTCCATTATATGTGAAATAAGTTAGAAACTGTGCCGCGTAAATCTTAATTCCGCAATTTCTCGTCACGTAATATCGTAAAACTTCGTTTTCCAATTGTACATTTTGACCGTTTCATTAATTTTATTTGTGCATATAGTTTCCAATGTTTAGTAGCTGTAATATGATTTCGAAAGCAAAAATAATTCTTGTAGTGTTAATTATAATTCCCTGTGCAAATAACTTACGTGGAATTTTTTGGAGCGTATTAAGCAGCAGATGGCCTTGCTTTATCGCAGTATAGAAATTGAACGATATCCATTGCTGATGATAAATTGTTAAATCACTGATAATAAAGACACTCGACAGGGAAACGTGTTTTTATATGCTGAATACTAAATAAAATTCGTTTAAGTTGTATTTGATACCACTGAACATTGTGTGCTTTTCCCTCCCTTTGTGCTCATTTGATTTACACTAAGAATAAAGATAATAATTAATCATTTACAATTTAAAAAAATATTTCTTTTGCAAAGTAGAAGTAACAAGTCTTCATAAATTCATTTATGTCTATTTTCTTTGTTAATTTGCTTTATCATAATTTAAATAACATTTGAATTTTATATATTTAATAGGTTGAAAAATTGTTATAAATTCCGAGAAAATAGTTTGAAACACTAATAGTTATCAATAATGATATGTTGATTAATTCTCCATATATAGAGTCTTCTGTAAAGCACTTATAAATAATTAGTAATATGTCGCGGGTAATAGATAATCTTAATTGCAAATAACGCGCAGAATATCAATCACACTGTCTCTATTTCAATGTGAAACTAAGACGCAAAAGATGACTGTGTCATGAAAACAATATCCAACATATCATCTACTATACAAACATGTCTATTATGTTTTATTATGATGCTTTCACTTCCACTCCTGATTATAATTCTTTTCATTTTATAAGATTTATTTAATACCTAGGACAGAAAATCAATAGATTTCATTATTTTAATATTTCATAGAATTTCCTTTTGATTTTATAAAATATTTTTCTACTTTCTATATATTTGTTAATATTTTCATATTGACATTCCAGTGTTTTTAATAAAAATTGTTCTAAAGGCTTGTAAGAATTTATTTGTTAAAATTCTTACGGAACAGTCAGTGCAGAGAATAACATTACCATAATAGAATGTTTTTAGCAAAATTTTGAGTGTTAATTTTCGAGTCACTAAAAATCCTCGCAAACATTGACATGATATAAGATAAAACCACGTGCAAAGTTTTCTCCCATCCGTGGCAGACGATACTATTCAATTAAACGCCGCGTTGTACAATTTGTCAATGAAATAATAACTTTTATCAATGTATCAACAAAATCGAAAGATAAGGATAGATAATATTTACACGATAATCATATTGTAAATTAATCTTAATCTTTATAACACTCCTCTTACGCGTGTGGTGCGCAGTATATTTTACCAACACACTTTCGATAAGGCAGCTCTGTGACACACGAGAATCGCACAGTTGCAACTCACGCTACGCCTCAGAAAGTTGTCTATCCGGTTTAAAAACATTCGTAGAGAACATCATAAATTACAAGTGTATTTTATCTGCGATTACAAACTGAAACTCGGATCTTGTCTTCAGATAACGCTTTACATTGTGAGAGTGAAAGTTAAATGAATATCCAAGAGTCAACCATGATTTGGACAATAATAGTAGCATCAGTGGTGCTTCTAGCAATATACCATTACAACTCGAAGAGGTATGCCTACTTTGAAGAAAGAGGGATACCATACATAAAAGCACTTCCGTTTCTTGGTAGCCTATGGAAAGTGATGCTGATGCGTGCCTCGCTCGCGACCACCGTTCAACAAATGTACAATCTGTACTCTGAAGCTAAATACGTAGGCTTCTTCGAGTTTCAAACTCCAATGATATTGCTACGCGATCCAGAATTAATAAAATCTGTAATGATCAAGAATTTCGACCACTTCCCAGAGCACAGGAACCTCAGCGACAACCCGGATGATATTCTGTTCCGCAAAAATCTGTTTACCCTAAATGGAGAAAGATGGAAGGACGTTAGGTCGATTTTGAGTCCAGCCTTCACCACCAACAAGATGAAGTCTATGTTCGTCCTGAGTGTGCTAAGAGATACGGCGAAAATTTAGCCTCCTTGCAAACTGATCAGACGATCCTGGAGCTAAAGGACACCTTCACCAGGTACACCAATGACGTTATAGCTACCTGTGCCTTTGGCGTGAACGTGGACTCGATGACGTATCGTGAGAATAAATTCTATTTATATGGTCGTGAGGCTACCACGTTTGGACTGAAGCAGTCTCTCAAGTTCTTCTTCATCAGAAACTTCCCTAGACTCTGTAGGATGTTGAAGATAACGCTACTCAGGAAGGGGATCTCCGACTTCTTTAAAGACCTGATAGAGTCCACGATTAAGACTAGGGACGAGCAGGGTATCGTTCGTCCGGATATGCTCCAGCTGATGATGGAGTTCAGAGATAAAGGGGATCCTTCCAAGGAATTGACCCTCGACGACATGATTGCCCAGGCGTTTGTTTTCTTCCTAGGAGGCTTCGAGAGCACTGCCACCCTGATGTGCTTCACTAGTCATGAAGTTGGAGTGAACGAGGAGATCCAAAAGAGGTTGCAGGTTGAGATTGATCAGGTTTTGAATGATTGCAATGGGGACGTCACTTACGAGGCTATCAATGGGATGAAGTATCTGGATGCTATTGTTAACGAAGGTCTCAGGAAGTACCCAGTTACTGTTGCTGGTGATAGAGTCTGCAGGAAACCTTTTGAACTACCTCCAACGCTACCAAACATGAAACCGTATGTTATGAAGGAGGGGGAAATCGTTTTGATACCTTTTTATGGGATACAACACGATCCTAAGTACTATCCAGAACCGGAGAAGTTTGATCCAGGTAGATTCTATGATGATCCAAAGCAGATTTTGAACTCTGGCACGTTTCTGACCTTTGGACTGGGCCCTAGGATGTGTATCGGTAATAGATTCGCTATTTTAGAGACAAAGATTTTGCTGTTTTATGTGTTTGCGAACTGTACCTTAAAACGTTGCTCGAAGACCATCGTACCGATGAAATTTAGCAAACAGGGATTCGCCATGACTCCTGAAGGAGGAGGATATTGGTTCGAAATTCAACCGAGAGCCAAAGGACAATCTCTGATGGCCAATGGTGGCAATGATCGAAAATAAGTGCACTGAAGAATCTTTTTTCTTAACGATTTTTGATGCACTTTTTGATACTACATGCAGAGTTTAATTAAGTTTGACACCTGGATTGATTTTTATAAAGAGTATGTATGTATCATCTGGATCAATAAATTAATGTATTCAAGAGAATAGAAAATTAATCAAATGATGATTTAAATTCCTCTTAATTTCACATGTGTTAATAGAATTCCCAACATCAATGTTGAGATATGATTGATTTAGCATGAAATAATTCTACTATCACCGTTATTAGTAAAATTGTCATAAGAAAATGGAGGGAAAGATAAGATACATATCTTCTGCGGTGGGTTCCTGGCACAGTAATGAACGTGTGTTACGTGTCCATCTCAATTATCATCCTTCTCTACATGAGCAACACGTAACACGGACTCGCACTAATAAGTACAACAGCCGTATAATACAGGGTCTACTATTTATCTCGCAACCCGTGCGTGCGCGAACTCATGATTGTGGCAATGGTGCTAAAATTCGACAGATGCAAAAATCCGTACAGTTAAGTTGTTATTCGACTGAACTCTAGTCCTAGATTCGATTCGGGATACGAGTATAGTGAGTTTCATCAAACTTTTCGCGGTGTGTGGCTCTTAACACATATTCACCACGGCAGTTCGTGTGCCCCTCGCCCATCAGCTCTCCGGCATGAATATGTGTTAGTGTCACACGCCATGACAAGTCCGATGAAACTCAATGTATTCGTATCCCGAATCGAATCGCGGACCAGAGTTCAGACGATTGTCAACTTAACTGTACAGATTTTTACATCTGTCTTATTTTAGCGCCGTTGCAACATTCATGATTTCGCGCGCGCACGGGTTGAGAGATAAATGGTAGACCCTGTATATTCCACTACGTGATCGTCCACTACCAACGATGCGATACGACCTTCTGAATATTGCTTTAATGAGCGACTCCCACTGATGCGAATTCTCTACACCAATAAAGTTTTGTCTCATCCGCACGCGGTTGCTTTTGCCTAAACAATTACGTCACGCAATCATCACCTCATCAATCCTTTCGTTGTGGCGTTTCTTCCATACGTTTTTATATTGAATAGGTTAATGTATAAAATAATTTTCTTTGAAATCAAACATTTTTGAGATACATGTTTCTGTTTTCAATGTTCATCTAAAAATTTGTATTCCATGTTTGCTATTTTGAAATATAAATTATTTATTTTAGAAGCCTATTGTGATCGTATAATGGGGAATTACCATAATTATTTGGAGTAAAAAAAGGGTCAAAATAGCTCTTTTTCTGTTTGTTCGAACATGATCCAAGACAATCCGATAATGCATCATGACTTTGATCTCTGCACCACAGTACGTTAATCTGTTTGTATCTACCGTAACATGCGACTAATTATTATTTAATGATGGGTACACTGCAGATCTGTTAGCGCTTTAATAACCGGCGATAAGTATGGGTCTGTTTGACGCAATCGACACAGATTTCCTGGGCAATGTTTACAATAACATTGTTTTATCCACAGGGTGTTAAAAAATTATCTGAAGAGCTCAACTTTTACAGGTAATAGTTAAATAATAAAGCATTATTCTTAATGTTTTCGGTGGGTGTCACTCAAGGGATTGTTTATAAAAATCACCTTCAAAAATTTATTTATTAATTTTTAACCCTTAATCATCGGACAAAAATTTTGAAAAAAGAAATATGACATACACCTAATGAGTACCTACTATTTGCACTTTAGTGTATTCAAATATCTTAAATAGTTTCCGAGAAAAAAATAGTAAAGTTTTGGGTTGACTCTCTTATCAGAGAGGGTAGGGGGTTGAAATTACACACAATTGTTGTTTAGGCACGAAATATTATGTGATATAAATATCAACCGAAATTGTTGCTGGGGCTGATTCACTAACTACTAATAATTTTTCAAATAATTCTTCGAATAATTTAAACGTGCAATCCCATTCCGCAACGTACTGTATAACTATGGGAATTAAGCATCACAAACAAAATTTGCACGCCATTGGGAGAGTATCAAAGTTCGCAGCAACTCTACAAGATTACTTTGAAATGTCATGACTGGACACGAAATGCGCAGTATACTATCAACGGTTCTCCCAACACGATAGTTTCGCTAAAAAGTCGTACGAAGCTGATGCAACAGGCAGTCGCTGTTCGAACAGCGTACCAGAACGGTCAACAGCGTTCACAGAAACCTTCTCAAAGTACAATTGCGAACAGACTCTGAAATCTACTCAATTAATTTACACATTCTAAGGTGGGCAAGTGTATCAAACAATCAATCGTGCATCGAAGTGATCAAAATGTGGACAATAATCTTAACAATCGTGGTTGTACTTGTAGTAGTCTACAAGTACATTACCGACTACGACTTTTTTGAAAAACGAGGAATACCATACACGAAGCCTTTTCCTTTTCTCGGAAGTGTATGGCAGGCAGTGTTGATGCGATGCACATTCGCAGAAGTGGTCCGCCGAATGTACGAATTCAACCGCGAGGCAAAGTACGTGGGTTTCTTCGACTTTCTCACTCCAGTGGTGACCATCCGCGACTTGGACCTGATCCGATCAGTGACCATCAAGAATTTCGATAACTTCCCCGATCACAGAACCTTTCAGAACGACGGGATCGATCCTCTGTTCAGCAAGAATCTGTTCAACCTACGTGGAGACAGATGGAGGGAGGTTCGAACGACCTTGAGCCCAGCCTTCACCTCCAGCAAGATGAAAGCTATGTTCATATTGATGAGAGAATGTGCCAAGAAATACGGCGAGAATCTATCCTCCTTGCCGGCTGATCAGAGGATCCTGGAACTGAAGGATGCCTACACCAGGTACACCAATGATGTGATAGCTACCTGTGCATTTGGAGTGAACGTTGACTCAATGACGGACCGTAAGAACAAATTCTACGTATATGGTCGCGAGGCTACCACCTTTGGAAGACTGCAATCCCTAAAGTTCTTCCTCATCAGAAGCTTCCCTAAACTGTGCAATGTGCTGAATGTGAAGATAGTGAAGTCAGAGATCGGGGAGTTCTTCCAGAATCTGGTATCAGATACCATCAAGGTCAGAGACGAAAGGGGTATCGTTCGTCCGGATATGATCCAGCTGATGATGGAGTCGAGAGGGAAAATGGGTCCTGGTAAGGAATTGACCATCGAGGATATGACTGCTCAGGCGTTCATCTTCTTTTTTGGTGGTTTCGAGAGCACCTCGACCACCATGTGCTTCGCAACCTACGAAGTAGGAGTGAATCCAGATGTCCAAACGAGACTTCAGGAAGAGATTGATCAAGTATTGGAAGATTGCAATGGAGAGGTTACTTATGAAGCTATCAATAACATGAAGTATTTAGATGCTATCATCAATGAGTCTCTCAGAATGTACCCGGTTATTGTGGCTGTTGATAGAGTTTGCATGAAGGACTTTGAACTGCCTCCAGCATTGCCGTCAGCGAAACCTCATGTTGTTAAAAAGGGTGAATATATCTGGATACCTATCTACGGGGTACAGCATGACCCAGATTATTTCCCGGAGCCGGATAAATTCAATCCTGACAGATTCCTCGATGACCCAAAGAAGATTATGAACTCTGGAGCGTTTTTGAGCTTTGGACTTGGGCCCAGGATGTGTATTGGTAACAGGTTCGCTCTGTTGGAGGCCAAAACTTTGCTCTTCCATGTCTTCGCTAATTGTGAACTGAAACCTTGTTCGAAGACCACCATACCAATGAGACTGAGCAAACAGGGATTCGCCATGACTGCTGATGGAGGATTCTGGTTCGACGTTCAGCCCAGAAAGAAATCACAGCACGTGATGGTCAATTCAGTGAGCAGCAATGGAGTGGCTTTCTGAAGGAATTTCTTTGTTTTAATTATATTTGTGCATATACTTTCCAGTGTTTGGTAGCTGTAATATGATTTCGAAAGCAAAAATAATTCTTGTAGTGTTAATTATAATTCTCTGTGCCAATAGCTTTCGTGGACTTCTGTGGAGCGCATTAAGTAGCAGGTGGCCTTGTTTTATCATAGTATAAAAATTGAATGATTTCCATTGAAGATGGATAAAATTGATAAATCGCTGATAATAAAGGCACTCGATAGGGAAACGTGTTGGTTTTATACGCTGAATTCTAAATAAAGTTCGTTTAAGTTATATTTGATACCACTGAACATTATGTTTTTTTCTCCCGTTGTGCTCGTTTGACTTACACTAAGAATAAAGATAATAATTAACCATTGACAATTAAACTCTGAAAGGATAATTAATGAAGGCAAATTATACCTAGAAAATCTGACAAGGGAAATAAAAAATAAACTAAACTCCCAGTGGGAAGACGAATGGAAACAAAAGGCTCCTAACCATATTAAAAATACAACCGACAACTTTTTCGAGGACCTGAAAACGACCCCCACTCTACTCAGAAGAGAACAAGTGGCCATCTGAAGAATTAAAATTGGCCATTCTAGAATTACTTCCTCCTACAGATTATCAAATACTCCAGCTCCCCAATGTGAAGTGTTAATCCTCCACTGTACTAAATATGATTTCCTCCGCAACAAACATAAACTAGAATCTTCACTCAAGGACAACTTATAAAACAGTAAAATCCAGGACTTACTTAAATTTATAAAAGATACCAGACTGATACAACAGATAATGTAAGTTTTATCTACTCCTTGATGTCGCTAATAACCTTGTAGTTGATGTGACAAAAAACCCTAAATAAAAAAAAAAGTCTTCATAAAGTCATTTATGTCTATTTGCTTTCTTAATTTGCTTTATCATAATTTGAATAAATTTTGAATTTAATATATTTAATAAATTGAAAAAATTGTTATAAATTCCGAGAAAATAGTTTGAAACACTAATAGTTATCAGTAATGATATGTTTATTAATTCTCCATATATAGAGTCTTCTGTAAAGTACTTATAAATGATTAGTAATGTGTCGCGGGTAATAGATAATCTTAATTGCAAATAACACGCAGAATATCAATTACACTGTCTCTATTTTAATGTGAAACTAATTGTAAGACGCAAAAGATGACTGTGTCATGAAAACAATATCCAACATATCATCTGCTATGCAAACATGTGTATTATATCTTATTACGATGGTTTCACTTCCACTCCTGATTATATCCTGATTATGTATATTGTTTTCTTTTTTTATTTTATAAGACTTATCTGATATTTAGAACAGGAAATCATTAGATTTCATTATTTTAATATTTGATAGGATTTCCTTTTGATTTTATAAAATATTTTTCGATTTTTTATATATTTGTTAATATTTTCATATTGACATTCCAGTGTTTTTAATAAAAATTATTCTAAAGACTTGTAACAATTTATTTATTAAAATTCTTACGTAACAGGCAGTGCAAAACTAAAAATTCTTTCTTTTACTTTTAGTTTTAAATGTAAATAGTTGGAATAATTTTAATTTTTAAAAGAACAGTGTAAAAAATGTCATTTTCCTGAAGTCTCTTTTGGACATCTGGATTCACTCCTACCTCGTAGGTTGCGAAGCACATGGTGGTCGAGGTGCTCTCGAAACCACCAAAGAAGAAACTGATTTATTTAATTAAAAGTAGTGCAGATATCTTGAATTATAATATTCGCAGAATTCCATACAAATAGTTAATAAAAACAAAAGGAAAAACAAAGTTGAAGTCAAGGTTCTTCTACAATCACTTAATTATAACCATATCAATTACGTTCATTTCTGAGAAATCATGTCACTTCACGTGATCTTGTTGTTGCAACAACAGTGATTTTGAACCCACTACTGTGTTACAGCTAATCAATTACAAATATTATAATCTTAATGTATGTCAAAATTGATCTCTTTCATAGATATGATGACGTTTGTAGAAAGAGATTATTTTATCTTTGTTGATGTAATTTCATACATATAGAAATTTACGTTAGGAATGATGACCAATTTCCATAAAGTAATGTTAGTCCTCTTTTCATAATGATAATGACGTTGAAATGTTATCTATTTACGTCAAATTTCTGATAAGTCACGAATGATTTCTTAAGTGTGGAAAGAGATCAAATACTTTTCGTTCGAAATAATGATTCATTATCAATAATTAGTAAATGAATCATTTCTGTATTTCGTTTAACAATTACGTTCGTGTAAATTTTTACGAGTTATGTTTCAAATAAAAAATGTAGTATAAATATATTTTTTACATCCTCACAGATACTCAGCCTTCCCATTCTGTTTCAACCAGTATGTAAGTTTGTACGCGACTCTTTTTTGTCCCATCCGTGGCAGACGATAGTCTGCACTAATCAAACGCCGCATTGTACAATCTGTCAATGAAATAATAATTTTTATCAATGTATCAACAAAATCGAAAAATAAGGATAGATAATATTTACACGATAATCATATTCCAAATTAATCTTAATCTTTATAACACTCCTCTTAAAGCTGGTTCAGACAGGGCTAGTAATTTAGTCGAGTGGGGAGTAGCTACTAACTACTAAACCGTTTAGCCCATAGGAAAGTGTCCGGACTAGTCTGTACTAGTCCACTGTTGGAGCTTTGGAAATCGAGAGTAGAAAATATATCGCTTGACTAAAGAAATGGGTCCGGACAGGTCTTTTCGGAAGCCTAGTTAGTGGTGAGGGAAGCCAACTCGACCAGAAAGATCCAATGAAACAGATCTACCCGACTAAATCGTTTTACTAAACTAGTCGACTAAACTGTAGTGTTCGTACATTAAACTACTCCCCACTTGACTAAATTACTAGCCGTGTCTGAACCAGCCTTTACGCGTGTGGTGCTCAGTATACTTTTCCAACACACTTTCAACAAGGCAACGCTGTGAAACACGAGAATCGCGCAGTTGCAACTCAGACCACACCTCAGGAAGTTGTCTATCCGGTTTAAAAACATTCCTAGGGAACATCATAAATTACAAGTATATTTTATCTGCGATTACAAACTGAAACTCGATCTTCAGATAACGCATTACATTCTGAGAGAAAAAATTAAGTAAATATCCAAGAATCAATCATGATTTAGACAATAATAGTAGCATCAGTGGTGCTTCTAGCAATATACCACTTCACCTCGAAGAGGTATGCCTATCTTGAAGAAAAAGGGATACCATACATAAAAGCACTTCCGTTTCTTGGTAGCCTATGGAAAGTGGTGCTAATGCGTTCAACAAATGTACAATCTGTACTCTGAAGCTAAATACGTAGGCTGCTTCGACTTTCTAACTCCAATGATATTGCTACGCGATCCAGAATTAATCAAATCCGTAATGATCAAGAATTTCGACCACTTCCCAGAGCACAGGAACCTCAGCGACAATGCGGATGATACTCTGTTCAGCAAAAACCTGTTTTCCCTAAATGGATGAAGATAGAAGGAAGTTAGGTCGATGTTGAGTTCACCCTTCACCACCAACAAGATGAAGTCTATGTTCGTCCTGAGTGTGCTAAGAGATACGGCGAAAATCTAGCCTTGCAAACTGATCAGACGATCCTGGAGCTAAAGGACACCTTCACCAGGTACACCAATGATGTTATAGCTACCTGTGCCTTTGGCGTGAACGTGGACTCGATGACGTATCGTGAGAATGAATTCTATTTATATGGTCGTGAGGCTACCACGTTTGGACTGAAGCAGTCTCTCAAGTTCTTCTTCATCAGAAACTTCCCTAGACTCTGTAGGATGTTGAAGATAACGCTACTCAGGAAGGGGATCTCCGACTTCTTTAAGGACCTGATAGAGTCCACGATTAAGACTAGGGACGAGCAGGGTATCGTTCGTCCAGATATGCTCCAGCTGATGATGGAGTTCAGAGAAAAAGGGGATCCTTCCAAGGAATTGACCCTCGACGACATGATTGCCCAGGCGTTTGTTTTCTTCCTAGGAGGCTTCGAGAGCACTGCCACCCTGATGTGCTTCACTAGTCATGAAGTTGGAGTGAACGAGGAGATCCAAAAGAGGTTGCAGGATGAGATTGATCAGATTTTGAATGATTGCAATGGGGACGTCACTTACGAGGCTATAAGTGGGATGAAGTACCTGGATACTATTGCTAACGAAGGTCTCAGGAAGTACCCAGTTACTGTTGCTGGTGATAGAGTCTGCAGGAAACCTTTTGAACTACCTCCAACGCTACCAAACAAGAAACTGTATGTTATGAAGGAGGAGGAAATCGTTTTGATACCTTTTTATGGGATACAACACAATCCTAAGTACTATCCAGAACCGGAGAAGTTTGATCCTAATAGATTCTATGATGATCCAAAGCAGATTTTGAACTCTGGCACGTTTCTGACCTTTGGACTGGGTCCTAGGATGTGTATCGGTAATAGATTCGCTATTTTAGAGACAAAGATTTTGCTGTTTTATGTGTTTGCGAACTGTACCTTGAAACGTTGCTCGAAGACCATCGTACCGATGAAATTTAGCAAACAGGGATTCGCCATGACTCCTGAAGGAGGAGGATATTGGTTCGAAATTCAACCGAAAGCCAAAGGACAATCTCTGATGGCCAATGGTGGCAATGATCGTAAATAAGTGCACTGAAGAATTTTTTTTCTTTACGATTTTTGATGCACTTTTTGATACTGCATGCAGGGTTTAATAAGGTTGGACACCTGGATTGATTTTTATAAAGAGTATGTATGCATCATCTGGATCAATAAATTAATGTATTCAAGAGAATAGGAAATTAATCAAATGATGATTTAAATTCCTCTTAATTTCACATGTGTTAATAGAATTCCCAACATAAAATGTTGAGATATGATTGATTTAGCATGGAATAATTCTACTATCACCGTTATTAGTAAAATTGTCACAAGAAAATGGAGGGAAAGATAAGATACATATCTTCTGCGGTGGGTTCCTGGCACAGTAATGCACGTGTGTTACGTGTCCATCTCAATTATCATCCGTTGAATGTATCATCCTTCTCTGCATGAGCAGCACGTAGCACGGACTCATATATTCCACTACGTGATCGTCCACTGCCAACGATGCGATACTACCTTCTGAATATTGCTTTAATGAGCGACTCCCACTGATTCGAATCCGCTACACCTATTAAGATTTGTCTCATCCGCACGCGGTTGCTTTTGCGTAAACAATTACGTCACGCAAACATCACCTCGGATCATTAACCCTTTCGTCGTGGCGCCTCTTCCATACGTTTTTATATTTAATAGGTGAATATACAAAATAATTTTCTTTGGAATCAAAAATTTTGGGGTACGTGTTTCTGTTTCCAATTTTCATCTAAAAATTTGTATTCCATGTTTGCTATTTTGAAATATAAATTATTTATTTTAGAAGCCTATTGTGATCGTATAATGGGGAATGACCATAATTATTTGGAGTAAAAAAGGGTCAAAATAGCTTTCTTTCTGTTTGTTCGAACACGATCCAAGGCAATCCGATAATGCATCATGACTTTGATCTCTGCACGACAGTATTTCAATCTCTTTGTATCTACCGTAATATGCGACTAATTGCTATTTATTGATGGGTAAACAGCAGATCTGTTAACGCTTTAATAACCGGCGATAAGTATGGGTCCGTTTGACAAAACCGACAGAGATTTCCTGGACAATGTTTACCATAACATTGTTTTATCTACAGGATGTTAACAAATTACCTGAAGAGCTCAACATCGTTGGATAGATCACGGAAAATCGAATCGAAAAGTTCTGTAGTATTTTTCGATGGGATCAGTAGTTTAGCCACGTTTCGTTGTTGAAAACCGAAAAATTGACTAATCAGTCCGCAGCTTAAATGACAAGACTCACGGAGTAGGAGAATGCACGGAAGCGAAACATTTGTAGAAGTCTATGTTTTTTACAACGTTGATTACAACGATACTGCAGTTGTACCTGTGATACCTTCTTCGACTATTAAACGAACAACTAATGGCACCTAACACAGTGCCGTTGTTCAAGACATGATATAAGTTTGTGATTTAGAGCTCTCACATACTTAAAACGAGGAACACCGTGAAAATAAGGACGTTAAAAGTTAAGAACAAAAAACTTAATTAAAAAGTTTAAATTGTTAAGCTATTATTTAAACAAATGACTATTGATCAACACACAATTTAGGGAAAGAAGAGTTTATATTTTTCTGAGAGTTGTTTCTGGTATGAGAAACGTGGCAGGCGCAACATGTTCCCTTGTAGGTCGGTTAGGTTGAGCGCCTCAAACGTTCAATCTGGCTTTGCCTTATGAAGGGGCTTTGCATTGGTTTTATTTTTTTTTAACCATGTTGTACCAATCCGACACTCTTGAAACTTTTACAGATAATAGTTAAATATTAAAGGATTATTCTTAATTTTTTCGGTGGGTGTCACTCAAGGGATTGTTTACAAAAATCACCTCCAAAAATTTATTTATTAATTTTCAACCCTTAATCATCGGACAAAAATTTTTAGAAAAAAATATGAAATACAGCTAATGAGGACCTATTACTTGCACTTTAGTGTATAGAAATACCTTAAATAGTTTCCGAGAAAAAAAATAGTACAATTTTGGGTTGTTACCCTCATATCTCTCTTATCAGAAGAGGTAGGGGATTGAAATTGCACACAATTGTTGTTTAGGCAACAACCATTATGTGGTATAAGTATCAACCAAAATTGTTGATGGGGCCGATTGACTATCTTCTGATAATTTTTCAATATTTTTTCGAATAATTTTAATATGCAATTCCATTTCGCAACGTACTGTATATCTATAAAAATTAAGCACTACAAACAAAATTTACACGCCATTGGGAGGGTATCGAAGTTCACAGCAACTTGATAAGATTACTTTGAAATGTCACGATTCGATATGAAACGTACAGTATAGGTACTATGAACAGTTCTCCCAACACGGAAGTTTCGCTAAAAAGTCGTACGAAGCTGATACAACGAGCAGTCGCTGTTCGAACAGCGTACCAGAACGATCAACAGCGTACATTGAAACCTTCTCAAAGTACAATCTCGAACAGACTCTGAAATCCACCCAAGTAATTTGCATATCCTAAAGTGGGCAAGTGTGTCAAACAATCAATCGTGCATCGAAGTGATCAAAATGTGGACAATAATCTTAGCAGTAGTGGCTGTGCTTGTAGTAGTCTACAAGTGCATAACCGACTACAACTTTTTTGAAAAACGAGGAATACCATACCACAAGCCTCTTCCTCTTCTCGGAAGCGTAGGGCAGGCAGTGTTGATGCGATGCACATTCGCAGAAGTGGTCCGCCAAATCTACGAATTCAACCGCGAGGCAAAGTACGTGGGTTTCTTCGACTTTCTCACTCCAGTGGTGACCATCCGCGACTTGGACCTGATCCGATCAGTGACCATCAAGAATTTCGATAACTTCCCCGATCACAGAACCTTTCAGAACGACGGGATCGATCCTCTGTTCAGCAAGAATCTGTTCAACCTACGTGGAGACAGATGGAGGGAGGTCCGAACGACCCTGAGCCCAGCCTTCACCTCCAGCAAGATGAAAGCTATGTTCATATTGATGAGAGATTGTGCCAAGAAATACAGTGAGAATCTATCCTCCCTGCCGGCTGATCAGAGGATCCTGGAACTGAAGGATGCCTTCACCAGATACACCAATGATGTGATAGCTACCTGTGCGTTTGGAGTGAACGTTGACTCAATGACGAACCGTAAGAACAAATTCTACGTATATGGTCGCGAGGCTACCTCCTTTGGAAGACTGCAGTCCCTAAAGTTCTTCCTCATCAGAAGCTTCCCTAAACTGTGCAATTTGCTGAATGTGAAGATAGTGAAGACAGAGATCGCGGAGTTCTTCCAGAATCTGGTATCAGATACCATCAAGGTCAGAGACGAAAGGGGTATCGTTCGTCCGGATATGATCCAGCTGATGATGGAGTCGAGAGGGAAAATGGGTCCTGGTAAGGAATTGACTATTGAGGATATGACTGCTCAGGCGTTCGTCTTCTTTTTTGGTGGTTTCGAGAGCACCTCGACCACCATGTGCTTCGCGACCTATGAAGTAGGAGTGAATCCAGATGTCCAAAAGAGACTTCAGGAAGAGATTGATCAAGTATTGGAAGATTGCAATGGAGAGGTTACTTATGAAGCTATCAATAACATGAAGTATTTAGACGCTATCATCAATGAATCTCTCAGGATGTACCCGGTTGTTGTGGCTACTGATAGAATTTGTATGGAGGACTTTGAACTGCCTCCAACATTGCCATCAGCGAAACCTTATGTTGTTAAAAAGGGTGAATATATCTGGATACCTGTCTATGGGGTACAGCGTGACCCAGATCATTTCCCGGATCCGGATAAATTCAATCCTGACAGATTCCTCGATGACCCAAAGAAGATTATGAACTCTGGAGCGTTTTTGAGCTTTGGACTTGGGCCCAGGATGTGTATTGGTAACAGGTTCGCTCTGTTGGAGGCAAAAACTTTGCTCTTCCATGTCTTCGCTAATTGTGAGCTGAAACCTTGTTCGAAGACCACCATACCGATGAGACTGAGCAAACAGGGATTCGCCATGACTGCTGATGGTGGATTCTGGTTTGACGTTCAGCCCAGAAAGAAATCACAGCACGTGATGGTCAATTCAGTGAGCAGCAATGGAGTGGCTTTTTGAAGGAATTTCTTTGTTTTAATTATATTTGTGCACATACTTTCCAGTGTTTAGTAGCTGTAACATGATTTCGAAAGCAAAAATAATTCTTGTAGTGTTAATTATAATTCTCTGTGCCAGTAGCTTTCGTGGAATTCTGTAGAGCCTATTAAGATACAGGTGGCCTTGCTTCATCGTAGTATAGAAATTGAATAATATCCATTGATGATGTAAAATTGATAAAGTACTGATAATAAACACACTCGATAGGGAAACGTGTTGTTTTAATTTGCTGAATAAAAGTCTGCTTATTCGTTCTTTTAGTAATGATTTAATTAATGTTGAGCTCCTGATTAAGGTAAGGATTATCTTGTTAATTTCGTTTGTACTAAATAAAATTCGTTTAAGTTATATTTGATACCACTGAACATTGTTTGTTTTTTATTTATTTAACGCTTATTTTTTATTTATTTAAGGTGTACAATTTGTAGAAAATAAGTATATAATTCTATCATTAACATATTTAATACGATTTGATTGTTTGAGATTGAAATTGATATTAACCTTCGATTGGCGGACCATGGAAAGTCCGAATTATAATTTAATTTTTTATCCCATATTATTTTCATTTTCTAAATGTTATATTGTTTCTTTAAAAAGGATTTTTGGAATTTTAAAAATTGATAATTATTTTTTCGCCGCCATATCAAATTTCCAATTCAAAAATTGAAAATGTTATTTTATAATTACCTAATATTTGATAAGCGACCCACTGCAGATTATTGTGCAGTTTCTTCTGGTATTACAAGAAGTCCCCTTTTCCGATTCAGCAGCCCTTAGGTACCCAAAGAAATATCTGGCAGGTTGACTCGATAAAACTACCCCTCTAATGTAATTCACTCTTCGCCCATTGGTAGGGTGAGTCTAGAATGGTCGAACCGGAGGTTACCGATCGAAAGAACAGCTTGAAAAGCAGGTTTTGGTCAGAATGAATGAACTGAAGATCGTAAGGGTGGATCTAAACAGTGTATTGTCTTGTCGTGTTAATGGAAGAAGGTGTGAAGAGAGGGTTAAATGGAACGACAAAACTGATTCTTTTTTCTTTTATCAATTTTCTTCGTTTTCTATCAATTTTCTTATTTTTATTTTCAGCTATCAAATTAAAGTTGAAAGAAGATAAATTTCATGAATTCATAGTGAGACGTAAAAGTGCTAATCCGATGATTAGTTAAGTAATTAGTTTCTATTCTCAATTGAAATATGTACTGCTTCAGAGTTGATAGTTAAAAACTTTCATTTAGATGAATCTACGAATCTGATTACAAAACTGAAAATTTAGGAAGGTGTAAATAAACGTATCTTTGGATGTTTAATATTTGCATAGTCGTGTTTTGCAAGCATATAAAATTTACAATGTTATATCCATAATAGTGATAACTTATCAGGCGTTTCTTGATTCACGTGTACATTTCTTAATCATGAGCTAATATAGCTGGGTTGCTTCAGCAATCAAGTCATTATCTCGACAATGTAGTAAACGATCTCCCGAAAAATAACAAGCAGTGACTTTGCACATTTTAAGGAATCCAGTATTAATTATTTTTTTAAATGACACAAATGGTTCGTAGTAAGACTAAAGTTGATTAACAGCAATAGAGGGATAATAATTAATACATTTTTCACCCCAGTTTTAATTCATTGAACGTTATATTTTATTTAATAATAACATAACTTGTCTTCATCTTTTCTTTTTAGTACGATCATAATATTTCTCCTGGCATTTACATGAATAAATTTAATATAAATTTAATTCGAAAATCATATCGATTAATTTCACAAATTTTCAAATCTGATTCCACCAATACAAGCAATATTCATTTAAAAAACAATTCAGTTATTAACTAATTCCATTAATCCAATCAACATTCACAGTAGGAATATTTTTTCTAGGCTCAACACGCAACAAAAATCCATTTTTGGGTAGCATAGCGAATGATGTTGTAGACATTTCCAAAGGAATCCGGATCTTCGGATTCAGTTTAATCTCACAACGAGCCAAAACGTGGCAAATTATCACTTTCATCTTCGTCAACGCGAACCTGTTCCCAATACACATCCTGGGTCCAGCACCAAAAGGTATATAAGCTCCCGAGTTGATGATGCCCTTACCATCATTCACGAATCTTTCCGGCTCAAATTTGTCCGGATTCTCATAATATTTCGGGTCCCTATGGATGGAAGAGGCTGGGATCCAAATGCTGGTTCCAGGTTGCACGGTGTACGGTTTGGCTCCAGGCACCGCTGGAGGTAACTCGAAAGCCTTGTTACATACTCTATCCAAGAAGAAGGCAATACTATGCAACCTCATGGTCTCGTTGATCACTGCGTCCAAATACGCCATTTCTGATATCGCTTCGTAAGTCAATTGGCCATTATTATTCTCTAAAACCTCGTCGATCTCTGCTTGCAGTTTACCCTGGGTATCAGGATTTTCAGCCAACATTTGAAAGACGAAAGACGTCTGCGCGGCCACCGAATCGAAACCACCAAAGTAGAAGCCAAAAGCGTGGGAAGCAATGTTGAAATTGGTTAACCCTTTACCTTCCTTCTTGTTGCTCTGGTCCATCAACAACTGCAGCATATCTGGCCTGTAAATACCCTTTTCCTGTCTGATCTTCACCGTGTCGATTATCAGGTCCTCGAAAAACTTGGCAAGATTTTTAGGCAGGAATGAGAGGTTCAACATGTTCGCCAGAAACGGTATGTTCCTGTTCACCATCTGCTTCATGAGGGTGATGAAACCACTCATGTTGACAGCTTGTTTACCTTTCACGAACAGCTCGTTGTTTGGATCTTTTATGGTGTCTACCTCAATGCCGAACGCACATGTGGCGATCACGTCGTTGGTAAATTTCGACAAAACCGATTTAAGCTCGAACTCGCGGTCACTTTCAGGTAGTTTCGATAGGTAGTCAGCGAAACGTACCGCACAGGCTGACATTAGCTTGAACATAGTCTTGATCTTGCTGGAGGTAAACACTGGAGACACTAGGTTTCTTTGACCCTTCCATTCCTCACTGTTCAGGAAAAACAGCATTCCAGCAAATAACGGATCTGCTTTCTTGTGGATGAAGCCTTGGTGGTCCTGGAAGGAGTCGAAGTTCTTCACGCAGATAGATTTGATGAGGTCCAAATCACGTAAGAGAATCGTGGCTCTCGTAAACTCGTATATACCCGCGTATTTAGCGTCTGGACAATGATCGTAGACTTTTTGCATGATGTCAGTTATGGAGGACTGCATGGTCATCATAGGTCCGAAATTTCCCACAATTGGTTTTGGCGGAATGTGTGGGATCCCATATCTTTTGAATACGTTCAGATTCTTCAGGTAATAATAGTAAATGGCTGTGAAGATGGCCACTACTGACAATGTAATTGTCAGATACTCCATCTCGAAGAGTCTGTGATGTATTCAAGAGATGCTGCACAGAATATGTTGCTTACACTGTTTTACTGCCGAGACTGACGCTCGTTTGAATATTTCATTTCTTTAAGTACTCAAGTACATGACGGTGACTCAGCTTATCACTAGTAGCTGCGCAGTGATTTCATTTATTATTTTCGTCTTTATTAAGTGTGCTGCGTGGCAAAGATACAAGTATAGTTTGAACCTAATTTCGATTTTCAGAAAAATAGATATTCAAATTCGAATTCATTGATTCGTCGATTGAATTTCACAGTTTTCCAAAGTATTTGTAAGTAAGTTTGTTTATAACAAGAAAAATGATAATTTCAACTTTTTGTTATTATGCAGTTATGCAGTAGATTTTATAAATTAACTTGATATAGTTCACAAAGTATAATTTTATTGTTATATAAAAATTAGAATTAGTATGAATCTAGTAATTAGTAAGAAATATCTGATTATGTGTCCCCTTTTTGATCCTTCGATTATACAATTCGATATCCTTTCGACCTAATATTATGATGAACTGTGAAGCAAACTACTTTCTTATGTACGAGTCATATTTAAAAAGTAAATGTTACTTTCTAAAATGTAAATGAATACTTCATATTTGGCACAAATTAAATCGAGAACAATATGGTCTATTCACAATGGAAACAGAACAGAATATTTATCTTGATGATGTGTCACACATGGACTGATTATCTTGTACATTTTTCATAATAAAGCAGTTTGTTACGGATACTTATCTATGTCAACGCTTAATTCCGATGCACAGTTGCAGTAGAATTATCGCTTTGCAAACATTACAAATGATTTACTGAAGAATTAAAAGTAACGTAACAAATTTCAAATTTACTTGTAATTTTATTTAGAAATGAAGCAAAAGTTCTTTAGTATAAATTGAAGACACTATAATCTCTACAAAATTTTACAATAATTTAAACTATTCAAATTATTTATAAATGAAATACTTACTTTAGATTTACATTTTTAAAATAACACTGCAACTAAAATGAGATCGAAGTCCTAAACATGTATAGGTAAAATAAAAAAGAAGACAATTTTTAAAAGATTCGTATGGAGACCAACGAAACGTTGATTAAACAAATTAATGCCAAAGATGATGTAATTAGGTATTACCATAAACTAAGGATAGAAATAATTGCTTCACTATACTTCTGTGATCTCCATGCAAAGTACTTACATGTCTTGACATTGAATGTTTTATGAATCTTGTATACATTTCATAAACTGCTGAGTTAATATTGACAATGACTTTGTTTATATGTTATCCCATTTAAATCATTAACATTTCATTTGACCCCTAGTAGCTGATAGTAATTAATGCTCGTCAGTGTATTTAATAAACATCTCTTGGCAGCCTATACTGATAAAACAGTATTGCATTTTATTAAAAAATTTTATTACACAAAACATGCATTTTATAATTTTTTTTTCTTCATTTGCAGTGCAAATATTCTTTCTCCTCGCGCTATATTTTTTTATTAAAATTCACAAACTACACGTTCGTGTAATTTAACAAATACATCAGAAAATATTCAATCAAAGAACCAGTGAACTCTTAGGAATAATTTTTTCTCAATCTTCAAGCACTGTTGGACATAGTTATTTTTTTATTCAAATTAACATTCTTCCTAGGTTCAACCTTCAGCCGGAACCCATTCTTGGGGATCGCAGCGAATGATCCTTTCAGTATTTCCATAGGAAGCTGGCTCTTCGAAGCCAACTTGAATTGACAGCGAGACAAAGTCTGACAAACTATCACCTTCATTTTCATCATCGCGAACCTGTGCCCGATGCACATCCTGGGTCCAAATCCGAAAGGTATGAAGGCTCCCGAGTTCAGTATCCTTTTACCATCGGTCACGAATCTCTCCGGGTCAAATTTGTCCGGATTCTCGTAGTGTTTCGAGTCGGTATGAATTGCACACACAGGGATCCAGAGAGTCATTCCAGGTCTCAAGGTGTAGGGTTTGGCACCGGGTACTGCTGGTGGCAGTTCGTAAGTCTTCGTGCACACTCTATCCAGGAAGAAGGCGTTGGGGTACAACCTCATGGTCTCGTGGATGACTGCTTCCAAGTATTCCATCTTCATAACAGCATCGTAGGTCAACTGTCCATCGTTCTCCTCTAATACCTTGTCTATCTCTTCTTGCAGTTTCGTCTGAACATCAGGATGCTCTGCCAGTAGATGGAACACGAAGGACGACTGCATGGCCACTGTCTCGTAAGCACCGAAGTAGAATCCATAGGCATTAGAAATTACCTCAGAGATAGTTAACGTTTTTCCTGGTTCATTTTTATTCTTAGCGTCGATCATCACCTGGAGCATGTCTGGCCTGTAGATTCCCTTCTCTTCTCTGGTCTTCACAGTGTCCAGCAGCAGGTTCTCAAAGAAATCGGCAAGATTCTTCGCGAAGAACCTGATTCGCAGCAACTTTATCAAAGAAGGTACGTTTCTGTACATCAATATCTTGATGAACTGACCAAAACCGACGAACAACATCGTACGCTGACCATTTACGTACAACTCATTATTTGGATCTTTGACGCTATCCACTTCGATACCGAATGCACAACTGGCGATAACGTCGTTGGTGTACTTGGACAACACTGACTTCATCTCTATTTCTCGTTCCTCTTCAGGTAATTTTAACAGATAATCGGTAACTCGTTCTCCACAGTCTGTCATCAGCTTGAACATGTTCTTGATTTTGCTGGAGGTGAATATTGGGGTCACTGTGGATCGTTGGTTCTTCCAGTACTCACCATGCAGGAAGAACAATGATCCTCCAAATAGAGTATCTACACTGGTGTCGAAGAATCCTTGGTGATCTTGGAAATGGTCGAAATTCTTCATACCGATGGTTTTGAGGAGCTCCACGTCGCGAATGAAGATCATTGGAACGCCTAGGTCGTAGAATCCTACGTACTTGGCTTTTGAATCGATATTGTATACCTTCTTTATCATTTCCATCATGCTGCACTTCATTGCTAACACGGGTCCTAAGTTTCCCACTAGTGGTGTAGGCGGAATGTGTGGGATCCCGTATCTTTTGAATACGTTCAGATTCTTTAGATAGTAATAGTAACAGGCTATAAGTACAGCAGTTACTGATAAGGCGATTGTTAGGTATTCCATGTTGATTGAGCTTGAGTGAATCGGTTACGAAATCTGTTGTGGCAGCTATGTTGCTTCGATTACTTTACTCGTGAGACTGTTGAGAGTTTCAGTATTCTTTGGTAGAATGTGTTGATTACGACGTCATGAAACCCGTTTCACGCTCTCAGGGGCGACTCAACGAGACTTGGTTCCCATGCTCTATCTGACTTCCTTTTATTGGAGGAATCTTTGCATGTGTTTGTGACCGATTTTGTATATGAAGGAGATAAGAGAGTGGCAATAATATCCGCAAAGGGGAAAATCGTTGTTTCTGTTTCAAGAACGTTGATCCCAAGACGATGGCATGGCGAAGACATTAGCGAAAATAGAGAGTTTTGGGGAAAATTTGTAGAACGTGTTTTCAAAATTTGACAATCTCTTAATTTCTTAATTTTCTAGTTTTCCTCTTTTCCCATTTTCAGTTTCCCAATTTATAATTCTTCTTTTTCTCAGTTTCCCAATTCTCAATTTTTCCGTTCTCCAATTTCCTAATTTTTAATTTTCCAAATTTCTAATTTGTATTTCCAATTTCCTGATATTGCAATGCCCTAATTTTCTATTTCCCAATTTAGTACTTTACTAATTTTCAAGTTTCTTAATATTCATTCCTAACTTCTGAATTTTCCAATTTTTTCAGTTTTCATATATCCTTATTTTCTAATTTGTTTTATTCTTATATTTTATAGCTTTCTATCATGAAATTCTGATCATAGAGAATATTTGCAACAATTACGTATTATGGTAAAACATGTTACCTGATTTCAAGCTACCTGATAAGATTTCACTGAAAACAGGTTACATTTTGTTGCAACTGAATTTCACATCGATTGTGTATTAATGTGAAATATTATCTTATCGCCATGTACGGAGTATGTTATTCAAACATTCAGCTTTTATCTCTTACGTATTCTAAGATCAAAGTATATTCTAATTTGATCTATCTACGAGACGTAACGTCACAATTGATAATAATAAAATTCATCTCATTAATTTAAATGGATTAATATCTTTCTGTGGTGTAATTTTACAATTTCTCTTTAAAGAGGTCAACATTCTGTTGCGTTGAATTATGTATCGCTCTAAAACACGTGTGAGCAAAAATAGGTCTTTAACGACTCCCCAATTTCACATATCTCTATTTTTCACTTTTTCAGCATATTGATTTACCCAGTTTCCCAATTTTCCCAAATCCCATGTATCCTAATTGTCTAATTTTTCAATTTCTTAATTTCCCCATTTTCACCATTTCCATGTATTCTAATTTTCTATTTTCCCAATTTCATAATTTCTCAATTTCCCCTATTTCCATCTATTGTAATTTTCTAATTTATATTATTACTACATTCTGAAGCTTTCCACTATAAAATTGTGAACATAAGATTTTGTTTCTAAAATAGCAACATTTGCAACAGTGACGTATTTTTAACCAAATTCAATGGTCAAATGATGATCCTCTTTTAATCGTTCGATCAAGAAACTTGGGACAATTGACGATCAACTTCTTTTCTTCTTTTTTCCCTCTTTCCTTGGCCGCTCACCGAAATTAGTCCGCAGTCAATTGCGGCCATAGTCCCGCGGGTTATTTGGATGTCTCTCTTAAGCGACGCAGAAACGTCGCCTCGGATCCAGGATATTGCGAACGATGGGATCAACGTACGGAAACAAAGCCGGGCACTTAGCGGCAAATTAGCGATGGCTTGGGGCGCCACTGTCGCTCTTCATTACACCGATACCCTTGCACACCCAACCAACCACCCACCAACCAACCGGTATATCCCCTACTTCGAGTTAACCCTCTTAACATCCTGCAGACAATGCACACCGCCTATCTTCCTCACTACATCTGGACGAATTAAATCTCCGCTATGACTAAAAATCCTCTTCAACCTTTCTGCTAATCACTCGATTATTCCTCGACACCTCTTAACCCTAATTTTATTTCTTTTCCTGCAAGGGAATCTTGTTAACCAATTGCTTTGATCTAATTCGAAGACGAATGACTTGAACCCTTTGGAAATTATATATAATGGAGTATAGTATATGTGTTTCTACTAAAGGACAATGTGGAATAAATTATTAGAGCTATATTCATATGAAGATTTAATAAATTTTGTAAAATAGAAAATAGAAAAAATTTACAACATTGCTGATTTGTTGAAAGGGAAAATTTCTAATTACTTCGAAGTCTTCTAAATTTTAAACCAAATTTTTAATCTCCCTATCTCGATTAAATAGAAAGCCTTTGACCAAAGAAGAGAATGCATTCGATGGTCAAAGGGTTACCTTTCGTCACTCAGCTGGTCGACGATCGACCTAGCGTTTTAACATCGATATCGTCACGATTTATTTCCAATTTCCGAAGCTTGCGAAGCGACATCACAGCCATGGCTGCTTTCCTGTCTCGGAAATTGAGGGAAAGCGAAGAAAGTGGCAGGGGTACGAGAGAGTTTCACGAAGGGTACCAGCTACCAAAAGTGGGAATGAAGGGTGGCTGGCAAAGTAGGAAGGCTCGTGTAACAGACTCCATTGTTAGAACTTATTGAGAATCTGCCAATAGCCTTGGGATTCAATTTGACTGGCGAACCATGAACGCCATTTAATATACAACGAGAGTGGGAAGGAGAGGGAGGATGGGGTGAGAACATTAACACTGAAAAGGATGGGGAACACTTTCGAGAAATTTGATGTTAATCGACCGATCTACTATTGGCTCGTGTATCGTTTAGTTTCTTTTTTTTTTATGCATTTGATCGATGATCTTTCTGTGCATTTGATCGATGATTTTTCTATACATTTGATGGAAAGGGTTGCTTCTTGTTTTCTGTTGCTGGTAGACGAAAATAAATCGTTTAAGAAGCTATTTTCATTTATTGGCTTGGAAAAATCACTTCTACATTTACTTTTTTATTTTTTTTTTAATATCATTAAGATTTATAGAAATTCTTTCGATTAAAGATTTTTTAATGGAACTCTATGTTCGTGTAAGAAATTCTTTATTAGAATGACACCTTTGGATTCTTAAAAGAATTTTCAAATCAAATACGTTTGCTTGCAAATGAGAATAGCCTCTCAAGCGTAAGAAATTAAGCGTCACGTAGCTCGAGATGCTGCGTGGAAAAGAAATATCTCCTACTGAATAATTTGTACGTGTCCGTGCATTGTATCGACAAATAACGAATCGTAATTTATTCGACTCGATGCTTTCCTGCCGATAGAAAAATAAGCTGCAGCCATCATCGACGAAGAGTACAACACTTGGAAATTGATCAGGTATTAAAATTCAAGGTGTTTCGTAAGATTTAAGAAACATTGAATAGCACTTTAGACTCAATATCGCTTTATAATGAATAAATTTAGAATTTCTGTAAGAATCATAAGAGAAACAATTGAATCTCAAGTTATTTTGATAATTACTCAAATTTAATAATTTATGACATTTCTAAATTTTTTAATCGTTTAAATGTTCTAGACAGTCAAGATCTGTACTCTTCTTTTTTTCTGGTCAGGAGAGTTTGAAGAATAATAGAAAATTAGAGAGGACGAAGAATAAAAAAGCAGAAACAAGGTGACATCGTTTTCGTAGAAATTTGTTTCTCAGCCTGATGTAGTCATTAGTCGGTCGAGCTAAAACGAAACATCCCTCCGGGAAATACACCTTAATAACAACTTAAGAGCGTCGCTGTTCTTTTTTCTTCTTTTTTTCCAAGTTCATTCCAACTCGTTATTTCGCCTCAATTTACAACTATTTTCTGTCCTGTTTTGTTTAGTATCTTTTTTCCTTCCAAATTTGAGATTATTGTAAATTTGTATGCAAAAATCATTACTAACCGGTGGGGTTCTCTCCATGGTCCGTCGTTCGAGGGTTAGTTCACTGTGCCTTTACTTAGCTTCCTCAATACTTTGTATTATGAATACTGATAAACCCTTTGTGTATCATTTTTCGTCACAGTTTAAGCATTAAATTAATGTACCCTAAGTGTTCGTTTGAAATATTTTTACGTCATGAAATCATCTGACTTTCTATGTTTCAAATTCAACATCGACGTGCATCAAGATTTTTCATAGCACAAAATTCAAAGCAAAATTAATTTACATTTCTAATTGTTCTAAAATCTCAAAGGAATATTCTTGCAAATGCAAATCGTAATTCAAGTGTAAAATAAAATAATTCATTCGGATCTTCACAAAAATTTTCCGCAATTTTTCGCCTGTTCCGGTTCATCGATTAACTTTCAAGGGAACTGAACGTCTCGTTTCCGTAAGAGTGATGTTCAATTTCCATGAATAGACGGCGAGAGACCAGAAGATCTATCCCTTCTTTCCTCTTTTCCTTTTTTTGATAGCTCGAAATTAAAAGCGACTAGGTGTTGCCCCGTCCCGAGTACAGAATTCCCAAGAGCAAAGTTTCTTGACAAAAGCTGAATTTCTTTTCTCACTCTTTCTGTTTCTTAAATGCGACGCTGACACAATGCACGCTTTGAATCACCGTCCAGATTCGGATACTCTTGGTTTTATCGTAAAAATGTGTTCAGTATTAAAAGATAATAGCTATTTCTGTTTTTCAATTACTCAATACTCGTCTTTGTAGCTCGATAATAGATTTTATTTTCATTTTATTTTTGCTTTATGTTTTCGTAGAACATGGAATTGTTTAGTTTTCAATACTGAGCCTTGTTTGATTTATTTTTATTTTTATTTTCAAAATTGAACAATTCGACTGTTGTAACATTCGAAAGTTGATTCAATGGACAATTTTTATTTTATCCTAGTTGAGGAATAAAAGGATTTTGGTTCAGTTTTGAAAATAAACTTGTAATTTAAAAAAATAGAATCACAGTGATAATTATTTTTCACTTACTGGAACCAAGCTAATGTTACAAATAAAAAATGAACTTAATCCTACATATTCAAAAACACTAATTTGAAACTATCAAAAGCAGATATCAAACGAATTTTCCCCGGTCACATTTTAATCGCACCGCGATAAAGTATGATTTCGTGGAGGGCAGTTAATCGTTTTCGTTTCTCAGTTGAAAATATCAATTCCAGCGTGAAAAGGCAAGAGTTCACTATTCACTTCTGGCCAGCTGTCGGCCAAAAAGAAGGTACCGACGAGGAAAGGGAAGTTTTCGCGGGCGGTAAATGGCAGCGAAGTT